TAACATTAACAGTAAATGTATATTGTCGATTTACATCAAGACCTTTGGTTTTAAGACTGTGTATTGTAAGTTTCTTAGCATCACCAAATGGTGGTACGATTGAAACATTAAATGGTGATTCGGGAATATGTTCATCATTAAATTTAATTGAAATTTGATAATCACCTGGTTCTGGACATACATAAGCTACACCGCATGAACCATCTTTACGATCAAAAAAGTCTATTTCAGCTTTAGCTGGACCTTCAACAGCAATAGCTAAACCACCAGCACCTGCTTCACGTGTATAAATATTAAATTCGTCTAAAATGTATAAAGGAAAAAGGCTGTTAGCACCATCCCTGTAGGATTAAAATGTAAAATACGATGTAGCTGCCATTACTTATCAGAAAGAGATTCTTTGAATACATTTTTTTTTACTCGCATTGTACCTAATCCTTTAGTGATAAAAATAAAAGCAGTAGCTCAATTATTGTAATGAGCCATTATTGATATACAATCTGCGACCGTATATCAATAACGTGTATGATGATCTCTAACAAGCATGTGTCATGGTTTGTAATGGTTTCTAGCTAGTGTCTTTTACAATCTGCGAATTGCAAATTGTAGATTGTGTTTCACAAGATGTTTTTTTTTCAGTTCTTACTTGTTACATGAACTTCACCACGTATAAGACCATTACCGCTAGCGCGAACTTTATGAGCACCGCCATCTAGTATTGGACCAACAGTAAATTCTAAATAAAATATATTATCTATTCTATATATATTTATCAATAAATAATATGTTTAATATTACCAAATGGACTACCAGGTATATGCATATCTTTATGTTTAACACTAACAGTATGAACACCCATTTCTTTGGGAATAAATTTAATTGAATAATTACAATCATCAAGTTCACTAAAATAACAAAACAAAAACGGAATTTATATCTTCAACTTTAGGTTTTTTCGCAAAAAATCAATTGTGAATTACTTACACAATTTCACAGTTTTCTAAACGTCCTATTGGACTTGTAACATAAGCACTCATATCAAACGATGAAGTACCTAAATGTTCACAAAGTCATTTGTTTTTTCTTTGTTGTTATTCAATTAAATTCTTTTTACATACCAGGAATTTTAAGGGATAATTCACATTGACTACCAATATGTGTTATATCAGCAGCACGACGTTCACGTATAATGCTTTCACGAAGTCGACTTGATCCATGACCACCAACATTAACTGTAAATGGACTACCTAAATAAATAATAAACATAATTTAATAGAGAAAATCTTTTTTTGGTTTTCTTTTTTTGTTTACTAACCAGATACATGTTTATCAGCAAATTTAACATTAAGAATATAAATTCCAGGTTCAGTTGGTCTATATGTAACAAGACATGAACCATCTTCATTATCATGACATTCAATATCAGCCTTTGATGGTCCTTCAATTGACAATGATAAGCCACCATAACCTAATACAATAAAAGAAAACAGTTTTTCTTTTCTTTAGTTTTATTTCAACTAACCAGCATCACGTGTAACAACAGTAAAATCATTAAATTGATTAGCATAACCTAAATGAATTGATTTAGATTAAAAAGAAATTCTTGATATTTTTTTTTATTTACCTTCTTTTAAACCTCGTCCAGATACTTTCACTTTACTAGCATCACCAATTTCTGATGAATCAACATGTATACGAAATGGACTATTTTCAATGTTTTTTCCATCACGATAAACATTTACTAAATGCTCACCAATTTCTTTTGGTATAAATGATATACCAAGACTTCCATTAGCTAATTTTTTTAATAAACATATATCTTCTATACCACTGGGTGAACGTTTTGTGGCATTTAAATCATGTATATCTATTTCAGTTACACGTAAACTTATTTCACTTTGATTTCCACCCATAACTTGTGAGCGTTTACGATTTTCACTTGATAATGTTGAACCAGTTATTTTAGCAGTAAATGGTGAACCAACAATATGTTTACCAGCAAATTTAACAGCTATTGTATATTCACCAGGTGCAGTCTTAAAGAAAAAAAGAAACCGTAAGAAGTTCAAAATTTGGAAAAGTCTTTAGAATTTTAAATTACCGGCCAATAAGTAACGTCACATGTACCATCTTTATTATCTTCACATTGAATTTCAGCTTTTGAACTTCCTTCGACAGTAACTGATAGACCGCCTGAACCAGCATCTTTAGTTACAATACGAAAGTCACATGATTCATTACAAACACCATGACTAAGACCAGATCCATACGCTGTAACATAATCTGTTTGAACTTGATCAACATGAAATTTAAATGGTGAACCAGCTATGGGTTGACCTTCATAGAATACATCTAATTCGTGTAAACCGGCTTCTGATGGTTGTTATTTTATTGATGCAGTTCCATCTTGAGAGTGTGGGTGTGGGGTTAGGTGGGTGGGGTGTGGGGTTGGGTGGGTGGGGTGTGAGGTTGAGTGGGTGGGTGTTGGTGGGTAGGGTGCGCGTGGATGGGTGGGTGGAGTGTGGGTGTGGTTGTGGATTTGGATGGTTTTTCTTATTAGGAGACAATGCACACCCACATGGACACTCATACCCATCCATCCCACACCTACGCCCATATCCATACACCCTACCCCCACCCCCACATTCAAATAACAAAAGAAAATGGAGTTTTAATAGAAGTGAGCTAAAGAGAAGAACAGTACTTATATATTAATACGAGAAGTGGATGTCATGCATTTCTTCGAAGGAGCCCTCATTCTTTCAAACTATAGGTTGTTCAAATTCATATTTTCGGGAAAGGTAGATGAGTTTATTCCATTTTTTCCTTAAGCCGTTACAACTCAAAGTAAGCAAGGTGAATACCTTAATATAGGCGATGTCTTAGTGTTGTACTCACGTCGTAGTCATCAGTGTTCACTGTGCGATACCATCGGCTTTTGACACATTCCTCAAAATGTCGATTAGTCTTTTAGCAGATTTCTTGGACTTTTCACGTGTTTCAGAAACGTGAAAAGGCGATTCTACTATTAGACTAAAACTTTGAAATCTTACTTCATCCTTCTTTGTATCTGAGCTCCCTTCAGAGATGAAAAAGAAAACATCTAGACCCACACCTATCCACATGCATAGATTTGTTTTACACAAAATAGATCATGTTCGAAAACACCTATGTTTTATTCATATAAAATGATCTCTCCTAATTTTCTTCATTGCGAAGTTTCCGGACCTCTCAGAGTCTCACATCTTTGTGACAAATCTGTTAGTGATTTTCGCATCATGAAAAAACTCTTGCTACGGTACTTATGAGAAAGGATGTCGAACATTAGTGGACTGGGTGAATATTTGTTGCTATGTTAGGTCCAGAAAATGTGTTTGAGAAAATATTACTCATAGTAGTCTCATTATCATTCTAAAAAGGATCGATATAGTCTATGTGTGAGAGAAAATTCCTCGATTATAGTATGGATTGATACATGACAGACAGAGATAGTCCGTCATCAGGCAGAACAAGAGCGATACGATTAATAAAGTCATTTTAATGGTTAATACTGCTGAAATCCAAGCAACATACCTTGGTTCGTTGGCTCCGGTATGGGTCTTGGTATAGTTGGAACGGGCTTGGGTTGCGGTGGCTTTGATGCATCTAGAAAGAAGGTAAACAATGTGATTATCATCTGAGCGAGTTCTTAAGAAACAGGGGTAACCTTGATTCATGACTAAATGAAGGATTGTATTGAGATTTAAAAATCAACTCAAAATTGGAAAGAAGCAACACTATTTATTTCATGGATTCTCGCACGCTTTTCTCAAACGCTCTTGCAGATGATTTATTGACATTGATTTTTTTCTAATTTAAAAAGAGTATCTTACCTCGTACTATCCCTCATCAATATCTCGAGAGAGTGGGTGTCCTATTGGACTTGGCTTCGTCTATAACCACACCCGAACCCTTTCCTTACATGGTTTTCTATGTTCGAAGTTGAAACATTATCTATGAAGAGACGCACTACTCATGTATTTCACAGTCGATCTCACTCGACGTGCTTTTCAGCTGCCACTCTAGAGTACTCAAACTTCCTACGGTAAAAACTAACTTGAATTAAATGTGACCAGGCGAAATCAACTTCCGAACGTTTCACCTGGCAGTATTAAATTGAGGACATAGGGAGCGAATAGCAATACAGCTTGATTTTTGTCGACTTAATTCTGTTGTCTACCTCTTGGTATATAGTATCTTCACATCTGCAGTTCATTTATTTTTCTGTTTTTTCTCATACTACCCAGGCAGACAATAAACGGCCAGAAAGGCGTTTAAACGCGTTAAAAAAGCGTTTACACCGTTTTAACTGGTTTAAACGCGTTTACTACTGATTTTTTCACTTTTAAATCGTTTTTACAGTTTATTTTCAACTAAATTCGACAAAACCATTAAAAACGCCCCAATTTCGTGTTTTTTTCGAAAAAAAAACGTTTTAACAGTATTTTTCCGTTTTGCTTCGATTACCAAAAAAACAATCAAAACTACAAAAATTTTATTATTATGCTGACAGTAAATCATGTGCATCGTTACTAACTAGTTGTTAGTAGGTGATAGTCTGCGCTACTAATCTGTTACTAATGAGTAGTAAATTTTTAATTTAACTATTCTGTAATAGTTATACCTGTTTGAATGTATCTAAATCATGTAACACAACATAGTGAGTAATCAGTCTGGTTACTTTCTAGTAAGTAATAAGTTTTAAAATTCGTTGTTTATAAGTAACAGGCAACTGATGGTTAGAATACGTATCTTTTCCTAATAAACAGCAAAGAATCAGATCCGATATTTATTATTAGCAAACAGAAATTTTAAATCAAGAAAATTTTTTTATTGTCATTAAGTCGAAGTCAAAATTGATAGTAGTATAACGATCTTACTGAAAATACTTCGCGTAGTGAGTTTACATATTCTATATTGATGTATTGTCAGTGTATCTACTCAGCAATATTCCACTGTCAATTGAAAACCGTTAAGACAAATATTGTTCGGTGTTAATATCTGATGAGAATGTAACAAGGCTTATCTTTGATTTGCCGCAGAGTAACTGCCATAAACTGATTTGCTTAACAGAAATAGGCGTGCAGCACATCTCATGCTGAATATCTTTAACAATCAGCGTGTAGACAATTAACATTATAGTGATTTGTTCAATGAATATTATAACATCATCTTAACCAATATTGGTTTATTTTACTGCACATTTAAGAAGATTAATTCTAGCTCAGTTGTATTTTGTGAATTATAATAAGTGCAGACAAATATTGTTAATGCTCAGAAACTAAATGGAAGGGGGAAAATATCATTAATGTTATTACATGTTAGTATATCATACTAACAACATAAACGATTCCTTCATTCTTAGATTATATGATAATCATAATCTTCTCTATTTCTCTTTTAAAAGTGCAAGTACGTATGGGTAACAATCATGTTTAACCAAGATAAACAAGTTATCCTGTTCTCATATAGGTTATAATTAAAAAATGACATAGAGATTAGCTGTTTCAATAAAAGTTTCAAAACTTGACTATTGTATATTTCATCTAGTTATCATCGTCACATAGAAACAGAGTTATCATCAGTCCACATTTGCAAGAAATTTTTTCCATTCTGTCTTTTCTTTCCGTCCGTTCAGTTCACAGAAAAAGGAAAAAAGAGGTCATTCTTTTATCACTCTCTCGTCCGATTATTCGTCTGTTCTTTTCATTTGGAATTCATTTGTGTTCTGTTTCGTTCACATAGTTGCCTAACTGAGTAGGCCATTTTTTTTCTAACGTATACTTAAAATTAATGGTAAATTCACTATATGTAATGGCACATACTTCTTTTGTGTAAAACTGGATATGTTCGAATTAGATAAGTTCTTTTCTGCGGAAATCACTCAGAACGAGAGAAAGAATAGGACACTTACTGCATGGCTATTAATAGTGAGTTTCTGAGAAAAATACTTCAATATTCACTAGGTTAGTGTTGATTTAGACATAACATGTACGATACTTTTGACAATACAACTAGCAGAGTCGCTCGCAGACGATAAACATAGCAGGGTCCATTAAATATTCCTCACTTGAAATGTTTCATATATAATGTTCATCACGAGTACGTGTGACATATGAGACGTTTGAAACAGTTGGGTTTTCTACTCGGTGAAAAGGGAATCTTAAGTCATCGAAATATGAATGAGCTTTAAAAGAAATATCGTCGCTACAGGAAAAAGCAGATAGCATTCTGATGCATAGGTGTGCCTTAATCAATTTCGCGACCAACTTAATACACACTCATTATGAGATTTCGTAGTGTGTTGATGACATTTCTAGTTATATCATATCTCCGTACTTTGATATTTTAGAATTTGATCGAAATGAAGTTAAATTTATTAATGATACTTGAAAAGAACATCTGTCTACCATAGTAGTTCCGATTGTAGTTTTCCTTATATTAGAAGCTGGTTAGATAGTCCGTGCTTTGCCTTTTTATCAATTCCTGTGTTAGTCGTACTATTTTAAATCTATTCATCAGTCTATCTTATCCGTCACTTATTTGAAACATGAATGGAAATAATTCAGTTTTCTTCTCGTTGATAAACTGACCGATTATATTCAGATTATCATTAGATTAATGTTAAATTGACATATGTTTATTGTTTATACTTTGAAAGCGGTGCAGAGAATTAAATCTCTCATCAGTTCGTTTCGTTTTATGTTAAGAGTAAGTTTACATTTTGCCATTTACTTGTTGGTATTTTTTTCTTTTTGTTTTTTATCTAATAGTGGAATGGTATGACAAGGTGTTAATGCTGTTCGATTAAACCTACATTTTTTATCTTTCTTTCCACTATTGAAAAAAAACAAAAAGAAAAAAATATCAATAAGTAAATAGTAAAATATACACTTACTCTTAACATAAAAAGAAACGAACTGATGAGAGATAAATTCTCTGCACTGTTTTCAAAGTATAAACTATAAACATATGTCAATTTAACATTAATCTAATGATAATTTGAATATAATCGATCAGTTTATCAATGAGAAGAAAATTTAGTTATAAATTATTGATACTTCATCGTTTAGATGAAACGTTTGTTGATCATTAAGAGGCGTGACAAGGGAAATTATTTCAACTGTTTAAACAGTGTCATTAGTCGCCAAAAACGCGTTAAAACAGTTACAATTTCAATGACTCCAAGCGTTTAAACATGTAAAACGTGTTAAAAGTTAATTTTTCATAAACTGTTTTAACGCGTTTTTGGCGACTAATGACACTGTTTAAATAGTTCAGATGTTGAGATGTTTAAACGCCGTTTTTGCCGTTTTGTTGTCTGCCCGGGTAGCATTGCTATCTCAGAAGAGTATTACGTCACAGTGCACATGCTATGATTCTACTTACATCAGTACAAGTACTGAATATAACTGTTAAGTAAAAAGTATTTGTACTTGTACTGCTGTAATTTCTGACACTCACACGTCCTTAAATAGAATCTTTAAACTTACGTTGCCATACTGGTCAATGTGATCGAATATGCTTGTATGAGTATCCCATATCACAAGAGTCTGCAGTGGCTGTGATGGAAATAGTATTCATGCTCTCCTGGATAACAGACTACTAGTCAATTTGAATACAATCCAACAAAGATTTGCTGTTTCTCGCAATGTAAAAGTTGCACGTGTCTAGTTACTTTTTGAAAATTACTCAGTTTACGACCGCCTGCATCACATGCTTATATATGTCAGCGTCCAAACTGAGATTACGTCCAATCTCAGATTGGCCTAGGCGAATGTCGGATACGAGATTGGACGCGTCCAATCTCGGATTCACGCAAGTATGTTCATTAAAATATAAATTACCCTTTAGACAGACCTTGGATTCAAACTTTTTTTTGAAATTATGTTCACACAATGCCGTTTTAAGTATTACAAGCATTTAGGAAGAAGCTAAATTTAGACTCAAAAATGTAATAAAATTTTTTCACAAAAGTTGTTGTTCTCTAGAAATTTATTCATAACTCCTAAAATTTTATTCAAATCTGCCAAATGACAATTGTGCCAAACAAACTGGCATTGTGTGAACATAATTTCAAAAAAAAGTTCGAATCCAAGGTCTGCCTAAAGAGTAATTGATATTTTAATGAACATACTTGCGTGAATCCGAGATTGGACGCGTCCAATCTCGTATCCGACATTCGCCTAGGCCAATCTGAGATTGGACGTAATCTCAGTTTGGACGCTGACATATACATAAAATGTGAAAGTAAGAGATAATATAAGTCTTGTTTCACGCTATAAATGCACTGGGCGTGATGAAAGTTTCGAGTAATGCGTTGAATTGTGAGAATTCTGCAACATTTTGTGCTTTTTGCGTGTTGAATAAAAACAAACAAGAATGATCCACTTTCATCTCATTCAACCCATGAAAATGCTATGAAAAGCGACCACTGCAACGCGCGAATTGTGTATGCCTAATAAGTGAGTAGTTTGAAGATCTGACGCTAATTCTCTTCAGAATTGAAAAACATACCTTTTCTCTTACACCGTATGAGTACTAATGTTATGCAGAAGAGATTGTACTTGCAACTTTAAAAGTGAAAGGAGGACGAAAGAAAATAGTCATTCGTGAGTATAAATGATTAGGAAATTAGAAGTACGGTCTAATGGATTTCAGAGTCTGAATGATAGTATATATTGACAAAATATTTACTTAATTTATTCGACTATGCAGCGAAACTCTCGAAAAGCTCTACATGATAGATGAAGACACAATATGGAAAACACACTGTAGTTCACCCCATAGTATCCAGCGAGCTTTCGGGATGAAAGCTATGTAAGTGTCCTGTATAGATCAACTTGAGAAAATTTGCCTCAAAGATGACACTTTTTTCCTGTTTTTGGTCAATGGAGGTCGCCTTATCATTGTACTACAAATAGAGCAAATGAAAATGGTTCACTATAGTCGAGAAACTTAGCCGAAATTGATGCTTTTACATATCGCACAAATGCTCTCTTTAAGAACAAATTTAATGTAATTGGCGCATTTCTAATTTAAATCACCTATTGCCTATATATTTAACTGCCGTATTCTCGAATAGACACGAAGTTCTTGGTAAAAGAGTATAGTAACTGCTGAGACAAAAATCCGCTATTGGGTACTGCATTTGCTTGAAATAGAGATCTAAAGTACAAGAATCAAGAAAATGTGTTCGTTCCAATGCATCTTGCATTCTAATCTGACGAGAGTGCAGGTTTGAATGTAACTTCAAAGTATCACCTAAAATACAATCATACCAAAAGAGTCACTAGTAAGAGTTTTACAAAGCATGCAAACTTCACTTTGAAAGAAGATAGTTTATGAAGACATAATAAAAATCTCGTAAAGTATCACTGTAAGCCTGTCAGAAGAGCTCCGTAGAGCATCTATTGATGACAACGGTGTCATGTTGAATGTAACATACCTGATTTTGACGAAGATTCGACTTTCAGTTGTGGTGAGACGTCCAACGGCTTCTCTTGGGGCACAGTCGTATGGGACTTCACTTTAGATCTGGATACAGCTGAAGCGGGTTTGTGTTCCGGTGGCTTTGGCACATCTAAAATAGAACAAAGAATATGTTCATTATACTTATGAGTTCATACTGACAGAGCTTGAAATCAAGCAATATAGAGATTCAAACTTTGGGATATCCTTATCCGAGTCAAAAATACTGCTACGGGAGTCCAAATGAATTGTCTATAAAGTATAACTCAAAACTGATTTTTACAAGATCGACGGACGCAATACAACTCGCAGTCTACTATTGGATTGGATCATGAGATTCATTTTAACATAAAAAGTCTGTACGAATGAGATAAATATCTTTGTAGTTGTTTTGGCAAGATAGTTGTAGTCGCAGTATATATCAATTTTATATTTTTTGTCACTGGCATAATTATGAGCTAGCCAATATATTATAAAGACAGTGACAATTACCAATGACGACCTGAACATTTTACTTCAATAAAGCGTCACATGTATCCGTGTTAGTTTCAAAGAAATTGCCAATGTATAAGTCCAATAAGAGCACGTTTTCAATTGCTGCTAGTTAGAAATTTTTTTTTATTTCGAGAGAATTGATATGCATTGTGCATGTATATAGTAATATAGAATTATTAAGTCGCCTTTGAGTTACAAATTGATTAGAGTTTCTCTCTTATAGGTACTGATGTAAAAAGTGAACAGAGATTTGAAACCTCTTTCTAATTCAATAGCTACTCGAGCATCCAGTTAATCCACATTCAAAATAGTAAACTATAATACCTAATAAAATATTTCTACCTCATCCAAACTCACACTTGAAAATACAAAGAATTGTTACATCCTCAAAAAAAAGCAACTGAATTCATTTCGATGTAGGACATCTATTTTAATATAATAGAGTTCCTTTGGATGAACTTACGAATGTAATCGGTATGCTGATCAATAGTGACCGTCCCAACTAATGCATTCGGATTTTTCAGTGCGATAGCTTTTTGACGCCATTCCATACTTTTGTCCAAGTCACCGGCATATGAGGCAAGCTTGCCAAGATCTTGATACAAATCAGCAAGTAATAGGTCGTTGGGCGGCAGTTGTCCTATCATACGAATAAAGTATTTTTCAGCTAGGTCAGGCTTTCCCATTTCCCATAATAGTTTTCCGAATTTATGAAGATTTGTTTCTCCACTTCCAAGTTGCTTTTTCATATCTGTGAGTACATGTTTTAATTCATGTTCATTTTCACTGCATACAGTCATTTTGATGACCCATACTTGGTCATTACTATTGTGATTGACGCTTTTCAAACGAAAAATGGAACCAAGCATAAAGAGAACTTCCGATTCATCACTAAATTCACTATATGCACTGATTTCCGCGAATGGTTTTGTAGTGACCACCTTAGGGTTGGCATCAATTTCAAATAATACTGGTTCCAAATTGTTTGTACCATCAGGAACATTGAGAAATGAAAGAGCATGTTGATAATCAGTACTGGTAGAAAAAAATGAATTCACTGAAATAAACTGCCCACAACATTGTTGCAAAGTACTTAGTTCATCACTTGAAATCCTTTGGCTTCGATAGACTCGGAGAGAATTTTTAGCTTGATGGCCTTTCAATTGATGATGAATATCTGAGATATATGCGCGAAACAAAAATATTAAATGAATATCTTGAGTGCGGAGAGCTACATTAAGAGTCTTGTAAAAGAATGATTCTCGTGTATACCACCATAGAACGTTATTCGGTGAATAATCTTGCAAAAATTCAAGAAGATTACTCAATTCGTCACTATTACCTTCATATTGTTGTTTACAAATACGAATAAGTTCCTTTTTATCTTCTTCAGTGTATTTTAATCGAAGAAGACAATCAATCAGAAGTTGAGAAAAAACAAACTGACCATTTAAACCTGTTGTCGATTTCCCTGCACCGGCACTTGTAGTAAAAATATTAATGGACAAGGGTTCTTCAACCATTTTCTGAATTTTATGCTCAGCTTTTATTCGAGAGATGAGTTCATCTAGTTCAACGACAACAGCTTTTACCTATCAATAAAAAAGCATCATACAACGAAGTTGAAATCATTTGGCTTATGTTTACTTTTGCAAATTTACAAGCCCATTTCTCATTACGTTTCTTATCGAAACAATAAACATAGATTGATATAACTTGTCGAAGTTGGTGAATAACAGGGACGATTTCTCGTCCCAATTGGCCACTAACAATCATAACTAATCGATCTTTTTGCGATCTTTCTTCAATATATTTTTGACATTGTTCTACATCTTTAAACTTCTTGAGATGATTAATAATAGAACGTAATCTTTGTTCCGTATCTCGAATTTCTGTAGCATTCGCATTTGTGTCGAGCCAGATAAGACAAAAAATTTCAAGCCGCATATCGTCAGTATTTGTGTGAAAGTCATCGATTGATAGAGCGTGGCTGGCCATGTTAATCACAGATACTAAATAGAATAGACATCCTTAACTCTTGTAGGTGAGATCATCAAATCAAGATATTAAGCTTTAGAATGAATCAGGCATATCGGTATTTTTTTCCGCGTAATCATCTAATAAGAGTTCATGCGTTTCCTTTAAGAAACTCTCTAAAGCAAACTTATTTGAATCTGTCAGATCGAGTTGTACATTTAAAAAATGCTGCTTCATATCTGATTAAAGCAGCACTAACATTTGACAGAGTTTTATTAACTGAGGTTGGAAGAAAAATAAGTTCAAGTTTACTACAAAAAGCTATGCTTTTCGTCAAACCTATCAAACGCAGGACAATAATACATGCATTGTAGTGCATGAAACCAACAAAAATCGTTGTATGTAGTAACTAGTTTTAGAGAAATGATAGTGCTCCGACGAAATTCACTTTTTTAAATAGAACAACGAGCGACCACATTCATATTTATACTTTTAAAAAATTGAGATATATTTCGAGCATGAACAAAAAAGCTTTTTTAAGGTAGATAATGATCGACATTTCTCTTTTCTTTTACTATAGTCTGTCTTTAGTCTGCAGATGTTGCCGTTCATTCCTGATAATCCAAAGGAAAAGAAAGAGCTCTTTATTTGCAGTACGCATTCTTGGACAAATAGATCTTTTTCTTGTGTGACCAACAATCTTTCTTTGGAAAACTTGTCCAAACAGAAGAAAAAATTGCCCGTAGATAAAATTTTATTTCGCTCAAAGACCTATTCCTATCAAATAAAATTGTAAATGTGTTATTTAAAACATTCTGGGCGATAGAATTTTTATCAAAGTTCACTACATTCTCTTTATAAAAATTAACATGTTCAGTTAATTGTTTTGCATCAAACTGACTCTAAAGCTCCATGTCTCTTTCTTAAAAGCAATTTCTAAAATAGCTTTATAAATTGAGTATTAGGCTTCCTAATATGGCAATGCCATAGTCTGATCCACTGGATATTCTGCTCCTAGTGTAGGGTGGCTTGATTGATTCAGGGATCATATGGTAAAGAAAATGAGTTGAACGACATAGTAGACTTTGAGTTTTTTTTCTTTGACCACATCATTGAATGGATAGAATTAACATGTATCTCGTACTATTGGAATAAAAGAAAAAGGAAGAAGTGAACAAATAAAAATTACTATTGAAAAAATACCTGTATTTTTCTTTGAGCCAATTTAGAACCTCTGAAGAGATTTAACTTATCATAAATACTATCTTAACTTCAATTGTGTGCCTTTGTATTTGTAACTTTCGAAGTTATCATAAAACTTTTGATTCATACTATACAGAAACTTTAACAGATATCTATAGGCTGTAGATAGACAAGGTTTTGTTTCAAAACGTTAAATTCATTTTCATTTTTCAAAATTATTGATTTCGTAAGTCCGATATTTCAAAGACCGACCGATGAAAAGAAATATTTCTCTCACCAATTAATAGTCCTTCAAGTTTACTACTTCGAACACTTAATGAAATGACATCTTGAATCACTTGCTTTTGTAGTTTTTTTCTTTAGGATCTCATTAATTGGGTATGTTCTGCTGCTTTCTTTATGAAGTTTAAAATACTCTATCTAGTCTTAGAAATTCTGCTGATAAGGTATGCAACGAAGTCAGTATTGAAAGCCAATCATACTTAACCAATTTCACTGATATTTTCTTCCGACTTGGTCGATTGCTGTATAAGTCAGACAAGTGGGTTGTTTGTTAAATAATTCTGTTCTTATCTTTGCATTATGGCAACATTTTGGTCTCTTCATCTTCTTTTTTTTTTCGTTTTTCTTTTTGAATAGTTCTCATCTACACACTATCTTTGGAAGGACAGAGAGCACATGGCAATAAAAAAACATTCAAGGTAAGCAGCAGAAGAAGATTGATTATAAAGAAGAAAAAAATTCACTATGCTTTTTTCTGTAATGAAAAAAGGACCGAAAAACTATTCCATTAGTTTTCATTTAAACTTGGACTTTAATATTTTCTTTGTATTATGATTGCTTATTTTTATGATATTTTTTTGAATTATTCATACTGGTTAAGTCCAACAAGGATGTATTTTTAGGTCTTTATCTATATATCATTGCAATGATTGAAAAATATTAACAAGAGTATATCACCAATGGTATTTTAGTGTGTATCCGTATGACTTAAAATGTGCACCAAATAACAATTATAAATTTAAGAAAAAGTTTTGTTTATTAAAAAACGACGTATTCTACTGAAAAAACTTCAATATATGGAATGAAACATTAAAGACTAAAGAGAAATTCAAGAAATATTTAATCGACTTTTATGACACCTTATTCAATGTTTTTCAATAGATACTCGCTAATCCAAATCGATGAAATAATTTATAGCGAATATCATCTCAAAACATACAGAATTCCAATAGAGTGTGGGTATGGGGTGATGGCAAGTGGAAAAAGCGGACTTTATACTTAAAGTTAATTTGGGCTACTTGGGGACACTTCGAGCTACTCTAAAGTATTTTTCTGTAATTTTTCCTTGGATGTGGGTATTGTTTTGTGTTCAAAAAACATTCAGATGCACACCTGTACCCTACGCCCACATCCTAAGAAGCAATGATGCAAATTGAAGAGTAAATTAAACTCTTGTATGAATCTAAGTATAAGTTACAAAAGAGTAAACATTTTCTTGTCACCGCAAAATCATTTAGGTACTCATTCTTATCAGCGCGACATTCTTGTATTTACACATATAATTAATACAACACTTTTTATTGTGGGAGTGCATGCAAACAGTATGTCTTCCATAGATATGCAAAAATTATTTTTAGTTTAGCGAGTTTCTTCAAGAACCAAAGTTGGTCATGATCTGGCGTGTTTCACTTAAAAGCTTGAAATGATCTCTCTTTTGCAACTTACGTATTCATGTGTGAAATATGAGAAATTCAGAAATATTTTTCAAATATATACGCATCGCTTAAGGTTTTACAAATAATTGAACAGTACATAAATGTTGAAAAGTATGCCATTAGTAAGTCATTTATGTCTAAAATTAAATTTCAAGGATCACAATCTATAGTAACTCCTTTTCAATCGTCGTCTAAACAAAAATTTTTATTACAGATTATGGATTCATATGACTAAAATATAAGACCAAAATCAAAGATTAGAGTGTGGGTGTGAGTTAAATAACGACCATTATATGAATTCATTTCATCAAATCGAAGTTAGGTAACTGCATATTCTAGATAATGATTTCAATGAAAAATATAATCGTGACATATCGCAACAAAATCTATTTAGGTTGATAAAACTATAGTTTTGAAAACGAGCTCATTATACTATTCAAATATAATTTGAACTTAAAATAAAACAGACTTCAATACGAAATTAGAACGTTGGATAATAGCATTAGAACTTGTTATGAAAGAAAAATTGCATATATCAATTCGAACAAAATCGATTTACTTTATCATATAGATTCTCTGATTTCCTCCTGTGTTCAGTTTTGTTCCTACATTAACTGAAAACGCTGTCCAACGTTTTAACTATCTGGCAAAGTACAAGGTTGTAATTGACCGGCATAATGACAGTCTTCTATGTTCAACCTTATTGCTTCTCATTATTCAATTATAGCTCTTATATATCCACAGTTACACATCATCAACTGTCCTATCGATTATATGATAATATACAAAGTCTGATTTTTGTTGATAATAAACAACAAATAAAGAGAAGAAAAGAATATATGCATTCAGCAGTTATGAATTAGTAAACTTACGTGATGAAATTCTACTTGATAGCAACGTAGTTTCAAATTGAAATATCAACTTAATAAAAATTCATCAACAGACTAAATTTGTCCTCTGAAAATTTCGAACTTGATTAATTCTGTTTTTATCTACTTTCTCAAATGTATCATTACATCAATATAATGATTCTCAATTTTTACTCTCTTACTCAAACGAAATGAATTATCAATATTAACAATTAATTTGAGTAAAAACGTTTATGCTAAGATCTTTTCCATAGATGAAAAGCTGGTTAAGTTGGGCTTTGGTGATTCTCTTTCAAATACGAGTCATTCAATGGTCAACATTTAGCGTCATATTTTGTCATTATTAATTGATGATATGGTAAAGTACTATTCTAATAACTGTTTTGATCGAGGGGCAAACATTTTTTCTTTCTCTGAGATAGATTTCAACATTTCCAAGTAACTAGTTTACAGAATATTTAAAAAGGGTGGTTGTGGGTACGAATTTAAAGCACACTCACGCTTACATCCTGGAATTGTTGGATTGTCGTATTGTACTATATCTAGATCTGAGAATAATTGATTTCTAAGGAATTCAAATTCTTTCTATAGAAGTTTCACAGTCAGAAAACATATTTTTCTCTCTCGTGGTTTGATATATTAGCCTGATTACAGACAGAGAGAGTCATCTGTGGAAAATGATTCCTAAATATTTTAGCAGATTGTAATAAATATCTCCATGTCCATGTGAAATAGCTCAGTTGTGCTGCACATTTTAACCCCACAGTAATTATGCTGAAATCTTTTTAAGTGATGTCTTAATCCTACTTATCCTAAGTGGAGCCGATCATGTATTTTACAAGACATTGACTCTAGAATCGGAAAGGACGAAATTAATTCTTGAGAGAGCACCGTCTCATGAGCACCTCAAATTACATGAAACTCTAGCCAATCAATATCATTGATTCTGTTCATTCTTTGGTCTCAATGAACAAATATAGATAAATAGACAAGTGAATAAACTAAGCATAACTAAAGAATCAAATTATAAACAAAGCAAAACAGAACATGAGTACTAACATAAGACGGAACACTAGCGTGGAAGAATAAATATTACTTTTTATCTAATATCGATCTGAATCAAAATAACATATATCTTCATTATTGAACCTCTGAACTCATTTATATTAACAGAAAAGTA